TGATCTTTATCTTTCAACAAGAGTTCAGCTTTGTTTAGGCATCTTATCCCCAGAAGGCCTAATTTGGGAGGCCTTCATGATGCTTTTCTTCATGTCAGTGGGGAAGACGAGCTTCTTTCTAGGTGGGAAGTCACTGAATCTGGAGTCTCTGTGATCTGGGTTTGCTCTTGGTGCCCAAATGTCTCTTGGTCGAGCAGCCTGTCCAGCATGGCTCTTGCTTTATCACTGAATCCCACCATTTCCCCTTTGGAAAGGACTGAATCTTGGTGCCATGCTTTTTCGGTTACTGGTGATAAAATACACCAGGCAGCTTCTGTGGGATCCCTGCCTTCTGGAAAATGAAAGAGGCTGCAGAAATTGGGGGGGAAATGGGGTGGTTGAGGCAAAAGCTGACTGTCAAGAATACAAAAATAAGTTCCAACCAGCAAGGAGAGCAGCAAAGTAGCCAAGCTGATCTTTAAAGTTGACTAAGGCAGCCTCCAGGAAAATTTGCCTCCCTCTCCCCAAGGTTTTCTGGGAGGTGGGCAAGAAAACCAAGGGAGAGGCATCAGCGTGATTAGTGAGGGGGAGGTGTAATTTCAAACAAAGGGCAACCAAACAGCACTAATCTCAAAGTCCCTCCCTTCTGTCCCCTTGGAAACCAGTGGCACAGGATGCTCTGTAGGATTTTACTGACCTTTATGTGCAATATTTCACAAAGTGCGTTCAGCCTTGTGATAACCAGCGCAACTTCTGCATTGTCAGTAGCATAAGAGGAGGATCCTGTTTTCCATTGTGTGGTATTTTCTTCCAGTCTCTCTTCCTTCCTCACGTGTTTATTTATCCTTTATCAGGGATAGAAATATGTCCTTTTTTTTGGTGGTTTTTTTTTTGGAGGGCTGTGGGTGGGCTGGCTTTCAAGGTACAGAAGCAGCTTGGTTAATTTTCAAAACTAATAATTTTATTTGGGCCACTCCAGTGGCAGCAACAGGCTTCAAATTTGGCTTCCATGGAAACATACTGCCATGGTAACTGAAAGGACTGACAATGCTGAAGAAATATTTTCTTGTACCCTTGCTTCCCTCCTTCCCCGTGTTTCCCATGTGATGTGAGTGTTTGGTTTCACCTGTCAGATTCGGTCAGTGCATTTAAAATGCTAGAAAACAAAAAAAGTTCTAAAAGCCATGGTGGCATTTCACTGATGTTGTTTGCAAAAAAAGCTGTCTAGAGGGAGATGTCAGTGAGCCACAAATTCTCTTCCAAGAGCAAAAAGAAACAAACCTAGAAGATATTCTTCATCCTTAGATTATTTTGTGGGGACTGGCTGGCATGGGCTGGTTCAGGGAATCAGACCCTGCACGCAGTCCAACATCTGTAATACTGAGGGTGGTGAGAATTGTCTCATCCAGTGGTTACAAGACAGAGTACCAGTGTTTTGCTGGGTCCCTTCCAGCTGATTAATTTGATGCTAGATTTTCTGTGGCTGCCTGTCACAGCTGCTTTCA